AACAACAACACCCTAATTCACTAGATTGCCCTCATAATGAAGGTAGAGTGCAATGGGACAGGTGTGCCAATGCCTTAGAGCTGTAACAAAATATCCCAAACTGAAGGGTCAGTGGCATTGTCTGGAAGGAATTGGCTGCTAACCCAAAGCCTTCACCACAGTAGGTTGGATTTACCAGCGGCTCCAAGGGAGAAAGATTGCCAATGTCTTCCCATGTAATATATAGCCTCAGAATCCAAAAGAAGGATCACCTGTAAGTTGGCTCTGGCCCGATGACAATGAATGCTTGTTTGATTGATTTTTGAAAGAGTGGGAGTGCGTTATCTTACAGCTCTGGAATCTGGGAGTCTGAAATGAAGGTGTTGGCCATGTTTAACTCTCCTGAGACTTTAAGAGAGAATCTGTTCCACTCCTCGCTATTAGTTTCCAGCAACTCTACGTAGTCCTTGACTTGTAGCTATGCATCAGATGGTATCCTTTCTCTTTCTGTCTCTCTTTTCTTCTTTAAAGGTCACCCCTTAGATGGAATTAGAACCTACTATTCTCAGCATGATCTCACACTAACTGACAACTGATAACACTGTTTCCAAAACAAAGTTGCATGCACCAGGAGTTAGAATTTTTATTTAATTTTTTGAGAGGGAGGTCCACAATTCAACAATGTCAGTCTAGAGACTAAGATGTACCAGATCCAGGCCATGGTATTCTCAATTACTTGCTATGCAGCTAAAAGCTGGACAATGACTCAAGATAACAGAAGAAGAATCAATACCTTTGATTTGTGGTACTGAACATCCCATAAACTGCCAAGAAAATAAACATGTCTGTCCTGGACAGGAGGAAACTGTGTTGCTCCTTGGAAACAAGGATTTTAAAAAGCTTCATCTCATATATTTTGGGCATGTTGTCCACAAGAACCAGTCCTTGGAGGACATCATGCTTGGAAGAGTGGAGGGTTCAGCACAGCAGAAGACCCTGCATGAGATGGATTGACTCAGTGACTATGGCAGTGGGGGTAGGTGTCAGAGACCATGAGATTGGCTCAGAATAGGGCAGAGTTTAGAGCTATTTTTCATATGGTCGCTATGAGTTGTAGTCAACTCAACAGAAGCCACCATTACAAAAATGAAGGAATGGGTATAGTCAAGAGAATGTGGATTTGCTGATGACAGAAGATCGGAGGGAAGTGGGGTGGGAGGAAGAGGGGACAGGGGCTGCACAAGTAGACAGTTGTCATTGAAGGAGAAGTTGTCAATGAATTCTTCTAGTGGCTGAGTTACTCTCCTTTGTGAAAGAACTGACAACCAAGCCATAGAGTATTCCTTGCATCTTGCAGCCAGCAGTACTCTGTGTTCTCATATGCTTCTGCAGGATCTCATCTGGTCACATGACAGGACCACCCTCTGAAATAGCACCTCTATGTGTGGGAATGATCAGGGAGGCAACTGATCTGCTGGGTCTGTATGTTCATGGGCCTTGTTAATTCACCATCTCTTGACTGCCCACAAGGCTATGAAATGTGTTACTAATATGTCCTACGTGGAAAAAAATTAAGGGTTTTTTATAATAAATAATGCTATGGAATATTAATACATAATTATATTGAACTTTATTAAAGAACTTAATTATATTAGACTTAAAACTGTACAAGCAGGCAGTGCCAATGGAAAAAAAATTTGGCACTAAGCTTCTAACAGCAAGAGAGAGGTCCAGAACTCAAAGATGGTTCTCATTTGGATGCATTTGATGCATATTAATGAACTGATCTCTGCGAAAAGTTTACTCCTACAAGCAATATTGAAGAGCTCTAGTTTCTCCCTCACCTATTCTTATGGAAGATATTAGCATTTCTTTATTAAATCCTTATCAACCTGGTAGGTTAATAATAAGTATCTCCTTTTAATATGCATTGACTTGATTATTAAGGTGGTTGAGCATTTTTCAAGTGCTTTTTGACATTATGGAAATCACCTATTTTTGCTATTTTTTAATCTTCAAGCTCACAAAAG